TTTGAAGGCCTTTGACCAGTCAGTATCAGATTTTTTAATGAATCTTTTTAATACAGGGTACATTTTTTTTCACATTGTAATAATATTCTAATTTCTATTTACTAGGAATAGACCACGGATGCCCTTCTGTGGTAGGAATGAATTTGCCTGAATATAAGTGTAAACGAGGTTGCAGATATGTTTTCACATCAAAATCAGATGCTGCTCGACACAACCTGATTGTTCATCATGGCCAGCGAAGAAGAACCAAGCGAAAGGCTAATAAGCATTGATCCCAGGAATTCGCGATTATTGGTAAGTTAACATCTTTCTTTAAAATTACTGTAATTGAATAACTTATAAAGGAAATATGAAATTTATCTTTTAATTGTGTTTAGCTCATGACAGACGTACTTACATAAAGACCTATACTCTACGTTATAGCCTACATGAGATTGTTTTATTTGAAAAAAAATTACTGTACTTAATACATGACTTGGATTATACTCTAAAAAGGCAACACAAGCTGTAAAATACATTTTAAATAACATTTGCATTTGCATGTGATTGGTGTAGGTATCGAATTTTCAAAATAAAGGTAGGGCCTTAAATATTTATTGCAATTAACAATAATTGACAACTGCACATAAACAATATTACGTAACTGAAAAGTTACGTAACATATTAAACATTGTATTTGATAGGCATTCTCATTGGTTGTTGCATGTTAACAAGGCGGGATATTCAAATTTGAAACGCACAAAATTTGGAATTGATTGATTTGGAAATCAGAATCTCACAATGTTTCGTTCAGGTAAACACGTCCATGCAATTGATCGTACTTGTGGATGCTGGCTTCGTGCAACTATTCGGGAAGAAGACGACAGCAGAGTGCTTGTAAAATGGATAGGATATGCAGAGACAGGCTGGGTTGACAAGTCTGATTGTAGAGAGGTTATTCTAAAGAGGAAATGCAGCTTTGGCAAGATGTTTTTTCCCACAACAAAAGACCCACAGTACCTCCAGAAAGGTGACAAAGTCTGCCGTTTAAATGCTGATCTCACACGAGGCCCAACACAAATTGTTCAGACAAATGACAAATTCAGATGTACAGTAAGTTATGTTATTTTTTTGATAAATTATATCCCCTCAACAGCCCGGTTTTTAAAATTCAATTCAATAATTTGAATGCAAGATAGAATTCTCGTATTTAGACCTATATTTTTGCGTATGTTTTAGCCTTGAAATTTCTTTTTTAATTTCTATTATAAATTATGGTAATTTGTGAACTCCAAAATTAATGTCTGAAAAATACCCGGTAATTGTAGACCTGGTTAAGCTTTAGTAGGAGGGAAAACGTAGGATATAGTTAGTATGCATTCGTTGTATTACTGCGTTTGTAAATGGCAATGGCTTTCATTTGCCGAATTTACAAAGAAAACAAGTTTAAGCCTATTTGCTATCATCCAGTTTACAACTTAAGTCAATACGCATGTTTATTATACTGCAATTATTTATTAGTTATTTAAAAGATCAAATACGGAAAACATACAATACCAGGCACAGTATGTTCCATACATCGTCGCCAAACCTTTTTTTCTCGCGAAGTTGTGGCCGCGATGTATTATTTTAACATACCAGTATAAATCTATTTCATATCCATTTTTTAGGCCTATCCATTACATCTTTATGTACTCTTTTAAAAATTTCTTTGAACAAGGGCCCCTAAAAAATAAACACAAATTTACTTTACGTACACTTTACATATATTTGATACTTATCAATATATAAGCCCAATAAAATGAATTATTAGTTTATAAACATAGCTTGGCTGGAAAAGTGATGAGGGTGAAAGGCTTTCTTTTTTTATTTTGCTAAAACCAAATTTAATCCTTGATTTGCTTGCTTGCTAGTGCATCGATAGGTATTCAAACAATATTTAACTATTTACTGAAATTATGAAAAAAAAAATAAAAAAATGTTTTTTAATACCAAGATGTGCGGGTGGGGGTAATAAACTAATTTTTTTTTTTTTATGAACCTAGTTATATAATTTTTTTTTTCTAAAGGTGGAAACAACCAAGGGGATAATTGTAAACTATGAACATTTATCCGAAGCAATTAATGATGTGTTAACAGGGGATGAAACTCCGCTTGTGTCTGATCATGGGGACGTCGAGGTTGATAAGGGAACAACATCATCCGCAGGAGAGAAACCTCCACTCGTGTCCGACTGTGGGGTTGTCGAGACTGGGGGTAAGGGAACCACACCATCCACAGAAGATGAAACTCCGCTTGTGTCTGACTGTGGGATCGTCGAACTTGGTGGTAAGGAAATCGCATCATCCCCGGAGGAAATAATTCCGCTTGTGTCTGCCTGTGAGAACGTCGAAACTGAAAAGAGAACCTCATCATCCACAGGGGAAGAACCTCCACTCGTGTCTGACTGTGAGACCGTCGAGCTTGATGGTAAAGGAACCACATCATCCATGGAGGAGGAAATTCTGCTTGTTTCTGGCTGTGGGAATGTCAAGACTGGTGATAAGAGAACCGCATCATCCACAGGGGAAGAAACTCCGCTTGTGTCTGGCTGTGGGATCGTGGAGACTGATAAGAGAACTGCATCATCTACAGGGGATGATAAGAGAACTGCAATCTACAGGGGAAGAAACTCCACTTGTGTCTGACTGTGAGATCGCTGAGCCCGGTGGTAAAGGAACCATACCATCCACGGAGGAGGAAATTCCGCTTGTGTCTGGCTGTGGAAACGTCACGACTGATGGTAGGAGAACTGCATTATCCATAAGGGAAGAAACTCCGCTTGTGTCTGACTGTGGGATTGTCGAGCTTAATGTTAAGGGAACTGCATCATCCACAGGGGAAAAAACTCCACCTGTATCTGGCTGTGACGTCAACGAGGCAGTAGAAGTAGACCAGTCTCTGCTCACTGAATTATTTTCTTCAAGTAAGTTTCTCTTTTAATTGAAAAAAATACATTTATTTAAACTAAGGCCTAATGCATTGTGATGTAATCAAAGGACTTCAACTGTAAATTTATTGTAAGATATTTTGTATCATGGAGTTATAAAAATACTATATTGCATTTACATGTATAGAATACACAAAACTGTACTAATTACCGGCCTTCTATCGGGAAACTCTAGGTTAGCTTTTTGGCAAACATTTTTGTTGACCATGGACTACTATCAAATTTTATTTGACAAATATATGGTCATGATAGACATCACATCATATATAGGTAGGCCTATGTCACGACTACGGGCATGCACCCGTTTTTTTCTCAAAGACAATCTCATAGTCTAGATAGAGCTTTAAACACATGATAAATTATCTCAAAGTGAACATTATTTTAGTTGCGTTATTATATTTTTCAAACCAAAATTTAATATAAATCACAACCCTTTTATATTTGCTTTTTATCAATACAATGTGCTAATTCGCTTATTGTACCATTTCCTCAGATATTTATGGCAATGAAAGTGGAGCAGATGATTGGAATGACATCATTCTGGACGTCCACCGAGGTATGTGTTGTCACCAGCTGACTAAAACTTTTAGTTATAGTTTCTACATTTAAGAGAATCGTGTCATATATCAACCCTAGGACTACTAAAGCAAATATTTTAAAACAATTTAGTCTCTTGGCTGTTACGACAATGGTATTGCATTACAGAATAGTATTATTAGCATGAATGAAACAGTAACACAAATAGTCAACTTTACACACAAGTATAAATAGAGCCAATTATTGTCCTTCTGATGAAAATAATCAAGTTGCGGATTCCAGGGTACCCCTAATAAGAGAAATTTGAGTGTGCCATTTCAAGCCATCTAGAGGTGCCATAATTTTTCTTAAGGAGGATTTTGTTCATGTCTGTTCAATAAATAACATATTTTAATGATACTTTTCATATTTAGACACTGGCGTGAAAAGAAAAAATACTGAGGAAGTTGGAAATGCTGCCAAATTTAAGAAGTTATTCGCTGAAATAGAAACTATGCGCCAGGAGTCTAATTCCAGACATGAGCAGATGACCATGCAGTTGAAGACCATGCAAGAGAGTCTTAACAGCCTCATAAAGTTCGTCACACAGAGTCGCAACGAACACCCAGATTTTCAGCCGTTAATCAAAAACACTGACGACAGAGGGATGATGACCCTCGGTGAAGAAAATGAGCAAGCTGTAAAGATACACGTAACAAAATATAATTGTCTGCTGCGGAAAAATAAGACACCAGCGCTGCTTGTAAAAGCATTGATGCCAGAGGTATTTACTAAATCAGAGATGGCCGTATCGAATTATGGCGGAGTAAAAAATAAGAGCCGCTCGATCCAATTTAGTTAAATGCTATCTTGTCGCAGGTGCGAGACCAATTCAAACGGTCGGGCATTATAGCGTCTGAAAAGGCTATCAGGACAGCTGTAAATGAAAAGTGCAGGTACTATACTTTCCTAAACAAACATGCTGAGTAAATGATAGATTACCAATAATGAGTTGTTAATAAATGTTCTATTCACATATCCGTTTTTTCCCGCATCGTTATTTGCATGTCATATATTTATATAAATAAATGTAAAAACTTTGACCTATATATATATATATATATATACAGTTGAATATACATTTTAATAATTATATATATATATATATATAGGTCAATTATTTAAATCTATATTCTACTGTTTCATTTATTCTATAAAAATTTAAAGAAATATATAGAAATCTCTGAAAATTAATAAATGGATGATGATGATGATGGTGATGGAGATGGAATCTTCAGTCGTTTTATTTTAATTACGACAGTTCGGTAACGAGGACAAGACGAAATTGAAAAACAACACACAGGAAAAACAAAAAAAGCAAGAATAATTTTTCTCATTTCAACAAGAACATTTAATATTGATTAGCACTTTAAATGCTTTCTAAACCGGTATATGTGGCCAGCTCCGAAACTGACAAGACCTGACACACATTCTCATTTCCACCACATCTTGCTCTTGTTTTCCAAATGTTAAAATTCTGCTCTTGCATTCTCGACCCAGCCGCCTCTATCCAAGGCTAATGCCTCCCTTGTCTTAACATCAAATCCTGAAAGCCTCTAATAAAATAAAAATAAAATAGTTATAATACATACATACTGTATATGTATATAATATTTTATTACACAATGATTTTTCATAGGACTTTATTCGTTGAAGAGCTACAGGGTAGCCTACGATGTTCCAACATGTCCTTATTAAACACTGTATATGTACCTTTGATGATTTATATTATATTTATTCAACAGTGTTAACGGCTAACTT